CCCCAAAACCCCAAAACCCCAAAACCCCAAAACCCCAAAACCCCAATTTTGATATTATATATAGAATTATAATAATCATTAATTCCAAATGTGGACTACAAGACTTGTTCCTCGAGTGTTCAAATCACCTTCAATTTTGAGGCAAACTTCCCTCATCACCTCAGTTCTTCAAAGAAACTTTTGCTTCCGTTGGGGTAAGAAATACAGAGATATTTATGGACCAAGTTCATGGAACACTCCTGAAAAGAGATATGACTCAAATCATAGAATGGGCCAGGTGAAAGAGAGGACTCAAGACCCTCTCTACATTGATGACAGAATTAAACATATTGATGGAGGAATTTCTGCATATATTACCAGACTTCATGATGAAAAGATCTATGATATCCCTCTCAGAAGTATGGCCTTCATCCTTTACAATGAGGCTAGAGAGAAAAGAAATGAAAAATTAGTCTATAAAAGATTTGAAGAAAATTACCACAGATTAATCAGTACAAGTATTGTCGCAAGAGAAGCCTTCGGAGGACTCTGGGCCTGCTACCAAAGTAACTGAGCTTCTTTAGAAGGTATTGCATTCTGGGAAGAAAAGCTAAAAGAACTTGCTCAAGATCTTCATCCAACTTGGATTAAGGAGCTTCTTCAAGCATTTAATAACAACAAGCAGCTCAAGGCTAGCCATATGAACAAAATTATTGATGAATATCTCAAGCCTCGCTTGCTAGAAGTATGGGATCCAAAGTTACTCTATAACCAAAGGACCATGAACGACTTAATAGTTGAATTCAAGAAACTAAACTACTATGATGAAGAGATTTTTGAGAAAATAATAGATTCCTTGCTCGTGAAGAAGAGGATCCAGAACATTTACTTCTTTGAGACTTTCCACCAGTTCATGAATGAAGTGAACGAGAACCCCAAAGGATCCCTGTACCAGAAATGGACTGAGAAAATCAATCAGTTTGAGGAAAAGCACTATACCGCTGATTTCAAATGGAGATATAACGCCGAAGAACGCAGAAGAAGGACTCATAAAGAGCTTGTAGCCAGAAGAGATGAGTTCGACTGGGAAGATTTTGTAGAAGTCGAGACCACTGATGAAAGAGAAGAAAGAGAAAGAAAAAGAATTGAAGAAGAACAACAAAGGAAATACTCTGTATATAACAAAGAGTTATTTGTCAAACAGGTCAAGAAATATAGAGCTGAAGGCAAGACTATGATTGAAATGATGGTTTATTTGGATGTTGATGAAGAAGCCCTTGAAAATGCCTTCCAAGCAATCTCACAAGAGGAACAGCTCGAGAGGCTTGAAGAGCTCAGAAAAGAAAACAAATTACCATTCGCAGAGGGCACTACTGTATAAATGATATTCAATATTCTGAAAGAGAGTTGGGGTTTTGGGGTTTTGGGGTTTTGGGGTTTTGGGGTTTTGGGG